TCACATAAAACAGGAGAAATAAAACCAAATTGTCTTAGGAAATAAAGTGCATGCAATTAAAGGACATGCACTGTAAAGAACAACTAGCCACAGACTGACTGGAATAGAAGCAATCAAGAAATTTCTAACAGGTGGAGGCAAAAGAGAAGCAGAGAAGTATGGTCTGCTGCAATGAGAAATGAAGATTTCAAGCAGCTGCCTCATTGAATATAATAACTTGCAGCTGAGTGAACTGCAGCACAGCTGGATTATTTCAAGAGATAGTGTGTATAGATTCCCAGTATATATGTATATATACATATATAGTTGCAGGATATATGTGTATCTGTGTGTTCACTAACTAGAAGTAAGTTACTTGAGAAAGTATAAATACAACAGTAAGATGACTTCTTGTCCTCTAGGTGAAAACATTAGGTTGTCCAAGTATTGCACAAAAAGCTGAGAGAATGTAGTTCAGCACAGCCTCCCCTGAGCCCCAAGGAGCTTGCAGTCACAAATCAGGGAAGGCCAAGCATTCATAAAGTGGTACTCAGTTACTTTTGATCACAGGCATTCAGGACATACACACTAGGACCGACCTTCCTGACCATACACAACAATCAATTCTCTGAGTAAAAAGTGGTACTCAGTTACTTTTGGGTCTCAAGGACAGCACTGCCAAGGATCACAGGCATTCAGGAAATACACACTAGGACCGACCTTCCTGACCATACACAACAATCAATTCTCTGAGTACTCCAAACTGAAGTTCCACCTTCAGTTAACATAAAGAGATGACACAAATGTTAGGTTTCTCCATATATATCAACACACACAGTGTTTCTGGAATGGTTTCGTACCAAGATGTAATGAACTCCAGCAATGGACACTGAACCAATAATGTGCATATAAACAACATATATCTATAATTTGTTAATAAACATATCTCACAATTCTAAGAGAAGAAAAAAACCCACCCTAAATCACTGAATACAAGCATAATATATTCAGGCTTGTCCTTGGAACAGCTTTGCGCTGTTCCATCGCTGAATGGAAAATACTCCACGAACATCTTACTGTAGAGACTTTAGAAGTGAGTAAATTGTCTCCTCTCACGCCCTTACACCCTCATCTGCACAAGACCCAGGCAACTGAACCACAACCTCCCAAGCCTGAAACATCAGCACAACTGCTCTGTGCCTACAAACTGTTCAGGATCCACAAGCAGCTTCTGCATTGTCCTGGTAACTGCACTCCCTGTACCTCCTCTCTGACTCCTCGGTACTTCAAGTGCTGGGGCTACGCGCACCTCGCAGCACCTGACCAAGATTTTTAAGAGATCTTGGGCTTTTCTGCCATTTTCTAATTACTTAAATCATATTAATCAGACCTCATTCAGTGTCTTCTGTGTCATCAATTGCCAGCAGAGAAGTTTCTTAGCAACTTGAACGTCTTAAGTTGGGCCACTGCATTTTGATCTGTCAGAAGAAGCTATTTTGTCATTCAAAATGAGGGAAAACTGTTGTTAAAAATCCAGCAAGAAAAAAACACAAACCCATAAATGCAGCAGCTTGGCATTATTCTTCAGTCTCCATCTTAATACCCAAACTGACTCATACTAAATCTTAAATGCCTCTTGTCTGACACAAAGTATTGAAGCTGCAGTATTTACTAGACACTTGCGGAAGCTATAAATTTCATTTTCTTCAGAGCTTATATTTATCCCAGCTGTAGCAAGCAGATATCTCTAGCTAGAAGTCAGGTTACTAGAAAGTATTTTAAGACAAAAGTGAACTGATAAATGATTTTACAGCATGTTCAGATTTACTGGTACAGTGAGTTCTCCTCCGAACACACCACAGCCTTCAGGATGGAGTATTGACATGAGTGTCTTTTTAGAGAAAAGAGCACCATTGAAGTTCAGCATGAAAAACCACGCTGACCAAATATCCCTCCATTCATTCAATGCTTGGATTCTGATACATTTCAAGTAAAGAGAAGCCAGCTGAAACTGCCTCCTGGCCTGTCACAATGCTGGGTGCTGACTCCTGGCCCTGTCAGCCTCTTTTGCCCCAGCTGATTTTCAATCAATCTCTGTGGTGCCCATCAGTAGTTAGGTCTGGCAACAACAACACTGGGGGACACTGGGGACACATTTTTCCCCCCAGATAAAATGCAGCAGTGACATCAGTATCATTTGACCTACCCTGCACTCAGCTACAGGAATTTTCATCCCAGTTGAAACTCAGCCTGACTCCCACTGTGCTCCCAGGAGCAACGTGGTGTTACAGGCTCTGTAACAACTCCTGTCTGTCAACATCAGAAGAACAGGGAGGTCACAGGAGCAAGCCAGGCCTGGCAGTCAGAAGGAATAGAAGAAAGGCTGCCAGGCCTTGCAGAGCTCCTGCTGCCTGCAGAGCCGGCCGTGCCCGGAGCAGGGGAAGGCGCTGCCCCCGGAGCACCCGGCGGGAGCGGGGCCGCTCCGGGCTCGGACGGGGCCGCTCCTTTCCCGCTCCTTTCCCGCTCCCCAGCCCTGCCGGCCTCCAGGCCTGGCTGCCAGCAGCAGAGCTCTTAAACTGCTCCCGAGATCTGAGCGTGGCTCTGCTCCTAGAAACTCGCTGGCTTCATCCAGCACTTGCAGCCAAAGACATCTTGACTCTACCACGTGGAACTAAACCAAGTGTACAGACACCGCTGGGATGATCCCTGAGCCACGTCCCCGCTCCTGCTGCTGCCTCCAGAGCCAGCATCCAGTCAGCCCTGACACAAGCCACAGCTGCACATGTGGAATCACACACACATTGGGAACAGCCAGCATTCCTGGGAAATAAATGGCCTGCCCTGCAAACAAGCGCAGTCACCTGAAAGGGGAGCTCTGAAACTAGAGCTGATTTATTTACAATAAAAAGCAAACCAAAACATTATTTGGAGGGAATGCTTGGTCAAGTATGCATTTTACAAAACTTTCCATTAAAAATTCACAAATTTAAAATAACAAAATTGTAAAATAACAAAACAAACAAAAATATTAACAGAATTATTTCCATTTAAACTTAACATCTCCTTTACTTTGAGGGAAGAGCCTCAGTGTCTGCTAGGGGTAAATCATGTCTGACTTTCTTTCAGTGGACCAAGCTCTGATTTGCAAAAAAAAAAATCTCTATTTTTCTCTAAGACAACAGAATTGCTCAAACTTCACACTATTTTTCTCCTTGTAATTTCCTTCACTTAGAAGGAAGAAAAAAGCTAAGTCCCCAAAGAATACATTTTTAGCTCTTTCAAGTTTTACACACTTGGGGGCAGCCCTGACGGGTCACCATTCTGAAGAGCACCCGGGCCAGTAAAGCCCAACGTCCCTGCAGGACCGTGCAGGGAGCAGAGCTCACAGCGCCTGTGCCTGCACAGGTGTGACTCTACCGGCTGGAACAGAAACCCAGGGCTGCCTGGGACTGCTGTTAAAAGGCTGCTTATTACACATACCTGGCTGGCATTTTCAAACAGAAGTCAAAGCAAGAGGGTCTGCAGCTGACCAGGATTTTTTGCAGTTGTTGATTTGAAAATACTGCATTTCATGATGAATTTTGGATTTATGAGACTATCCAGGTATCCTCCTGAAGACAAACATATCAGGCACAGGTTCTCCTGGAGAGGATTTTATTCCATATTTAACCTTATAGAGAATTTCTGACAAAAAAGTCTGCAGCTGTCTCCCTCCTTTCAACAAATGCAGCCTTTTTTCACTAAGAGAGACTCCTGTGGCCAGATCCCCACAGTTACCCTTTTCAATCCACCAACAGGTTCTTTTCAATAGATTATTTTATCCAGCCATCAAAAGGTTACAAATTTTTATTTATTTTTTAATTTTTATAATTGAAAATGAAAGCTAATGGAACTTAATATTTCAAATTAAAAGAGTTCAATTATCAGTATGATTAAAACATTCATTATTTCTTTAGACTTCCTTACAGGTGTTACGGTTACATCACTGTGATGTTTTCCCTCTGCGACAACTGGATCCTTCTTCTCAAATCCTGCCCTTAAAGTCATCATGTGCTACTGGTTCTCACACACAAACTAGGTTTTTTTTCATTAAATACTCTACATTCATAGGGTTTATAGTCACTCTAATATGACTTTTTTAATAAAGACAAAAGTTTCTGTTGGAGCAGCAGCAGATAAAATGGGTTAGAAATGCAGCTGCACCAATCTGAACAAGGGAGAAATAAAAATGTGTATTTTTTTAAAAACAACAATAATCACACTTAATTCACCAGCAGGACAGTGCAGTGATTACAGTTTAACTGCCCTTCTTGATCCAGTGTAAACATTAGGAGCAAGCTGTGCTATGCAGGGGAGGGAAAAAGAAATTATCATGGCAAGTTCTAGATCCCCTGATTCATCTTTCCTGGCAGAAGATGGAGTGAGTCAAAGCTGCTGTGTAGGAAGCAAGGAGAGGGAGGTGGGCTCAGCTGGCTCAGCACTGGCTGGGTCTTCTCAACTGGGGTTTGAAAAGGGATGCATCAAAGCTAATACATCATAACTCTTCAGGGCCACCTTGCAGAAGCAATGCTGCCTGCAGGATGTGCCTTCAGCAGTGTGCTCACTGGGGTACCTGGCTCCTTGCTCTGCCTAAATGCATGGTACAAAGTGCCAGAGTTGTACAGCTCTGAAACTTCCTTTTGGGCAACTTCACAAAGCCAAACACAGCTTTAACTAGAAACAGCATAAACTGAATGTTCATAATTGGAGATAAAGAGGTGCAGCTCTGCCACTCCTCACTTTGCCCACAGTAGATAAGAGCAGGACTGAGACATGGCTACACTAGAAACAACCATTATCAGATCTAACTGGGTGTCAGATATAAACCTACCTTCACCTGCACTGACTCATGTTCACTATAAAAATAGGTAACATCAGCTGTGGATCAAAGCTGCCTGATGGCTCCCACTAAGTAGAAGTCACATCTACCTTTCCAAAACACAATCTGTATAATAATGCAAAACCAAGTTATTTTCCCTTACCTTCTGCAAAAGGTTCCCATTCATAAAATCGACCCATAAATGGCTTGTTATTGTATGATGCACACTGTACCTCTCTAATATTCCTGCTGCTTTCAGGACACATCTGTTTAGATTAAAAAAAAAAAAAGGTAGCATTATAATCAACAGCAAAGTTATTTTTGCCTTCTTGTTAATGAACTTTAGAAGGTTAGTGAAGGCATTGCAAAATTCTAATCCAGCTGAATGATATAAACATCAGGAGACCTCTTAAAAACAGGTAACAAGCTGTGCTGTTAAGTAACAGTATCAAAAGTGCCTGTTGAAGAAAATTAATTTGCAAAGTTAATGGAGCAACAGTTCTATTAAAAAAAAAAAGTAAAGCTTTTATTGAGCTGTCATTTTCCTCAGCAACAGCACAACACTTCAGGATAAATTCAATATTAGATTAGAATTACTTCCTTTTCACAACAGCTTCACATTTTTCATCATTAAGTTTTTGGGCTCAGATTCAACAGAGTTGAAACACTCAACATGCATGCTTCCATAAGTTATTAGAAGTTGACCACAGCAGTTTTTTATTCTCATCCTATGCTTTCATACCATATTTCCACTTTTTATTTTGTATTTCTACATGCTGCTATTACAGTCACTGCATGACTTTGCATTTCAGGTCATGCCTTCAGATCCTGAGCTCCTGCAACTAAGGAGTTGGTATAGGAGTTTTGCAACTAAAGAGCTGCTTCTACACAAGCACATGTGCACACACAGGTATTGAGGCAGGGCAGGTTTTACAGGAGGAAGTAGCATCCTTCCTTAGGTCACCTGCAATGCACACCTTTGGCAGACCAGCCTTGTTTGCGTGTGAAGTAGACTCCAAAAGCAAATACAAGTTAAATACTTAATGGCTTCGTTCTGCCTGAATCCTCACTGCAGTTAGAGCTGAAGTTTACTCTGTGTGTGGGCACATACAAAGGGGACAAAGACTTCTACCAAATGCAGGGGGTTAATTAGAACAATTTCTATGCCTGGACAAAATAGGCAAGCTTTGGGCACAGATGCATTTTGTTACATAGCCTTTAGATAATAAAAATTAATAAATAATTTACTAAAAATACTTAAAAACAGTAGAAATTACAGGAAGTACTCGACTAGAAAAGAAGAATATTTTTTCTAGATGACAGATTTCAAGGGAAAGCTAGAGATAACATTATATGAAAACAGCATGGCTAAATAACTGTGTTTTCAAAGGGAACAGAAGAGAATCACTAAGAACAACTCCTGCTCCAACTGCAACTCAGTTCTCTTATGCCTGTATAGTAGGAAAGACTGGTTGTCTGCTGGGGAAGCCAGGCAAATCAGAGGTCCCAGAGGAGTTCTTGCTTTGTATCCACCATCTCCCTAAGAAGATGCTTGTAACTGGATCAAAGAGACATCAAAGTCAAGAGTTTTCAAGTGGGCTATAAACTGTACCAAAGACATGCCCAGGGGAAGGTTCATGGACTACTTTATCTTCTACTAAAATCATGGTAACAAATCTTCTAGAATAAACACTGTTTCTGGCCAAGCAGCTATCTGTGCTTCTTCGCCCACCCTTCTGAAATCTCCAAGTACATGCAAATACTGCTTTCCTCAACAAACCCTCTAATAAAATTTTAAAAACCACAAAACCCAAAAAAACCCAAAAACAAAAAGCCTTCCCTGAAAACAGGACCATGAACCACCACACTGGAAGGGTGGGACTAAAAGCCTTTCTAGTGCCAAATGCAGAAAGCAAAGCTATATTCCCACAACTGAAGCACAGCTCCTTCCATGTGTGGCACAGCAATGCAGAACATCTATTCACCACAACCACCATCCAAGGCAAGGAAATGTATTTTTCATGGAAACCAATTATTGCACATATCCTAAAGGTAAAGGGACAGAACCTGAGCTGGCATAAATTAAGGTCACTACACTAAATTATAGCAGAACAAACATCAGTTTGCACCAGCCAAGAAGTCAGCCTGAAGGGTTTCTTTCTGGAATGCTTTTCCCTTTTTTTGGCACACGTTTTCTACCAGCCTATTGTGAAGTTTAGTTGCTTCTTGTTTTTCCTTTTCTGACCCTTGAGCTCATGCTCTCGTGTACCAGTATTTCTGGCTCACAAACCATTTCCTGTACACCCCGCTCATACCAACTGCAGGCAATGTATGAGTAAAAATATCAAAATATTCATTGCTGTTGCCAACAAATAGTGACACCCATCCCTTCTAAGATCCTTTTCATATAGCTACAATTTCTGTTTTAAAACTTACTGACAGTTGCCCACAAGAGAGAGACCTCAGTGCTTTAAAGCAGGACCAGAGACAGACTAATGCACTAAACTCTGTGTGGATCAAGCAAAAATCAGAATAACAGGCTAACTCAGAACATCCCTGCTACTTTAGAAGCCCCAACTCAGTTGCTCTTCCTTCTTTTCTTTCATCAAGGTTTAACTGCAATATAAAATTGTGAGGAAAAATTTGAACAATCTGGTCTGCAAAAACACTTTGCTTTGTTCTTGATACAGATTACATTCATTTGTATTTTTAATGTCTTCTAAAATATTCTTTAGCTATGAAGTACAAGTAGGCAAAATTACAACAGTCCATGAATCACGAAGGCTTAAGAGTTATATTATACTCTACATATACACTAGTTAACATCTATGCACCATTTACTAACCCCACCTAAATTGTTAATGCACAGCTGAATGCAGTGACAGTTTTATGCTGCCTACAGCTCAGCCTCCCTGAAAATTAAATCCTTGAGCCTTTCTCAGAAGACCTGTGTGCCAGGCACTTTCTCTTGGCCTCTCTGGCTTTCTAGCACTTTTGCAGGCAGAAAACCACTAAAATAAAAAAGTATTACCCTGTACAGTCAAAAGTGAAGCTTCAGTATAGGGGCTCCTGTAGATCCTCATTTTTTATTTATTCCCTGAGAGTACAAGCTATTTTTACACTTCAATATAATTACTATTTCTGTCATATACAGCCTGACTAAAACTCCTAAAATACAGCAACAAGCTTCTGTGATGAGAAGATGGCAAGCCCAAAGGCAGCTCCTCTTTGCAGTGTCACACAGCTGTCCCTTGCAGGGCTCCCCAGGCTGCCCAGCTCCCACAGGAGCGCTGGAGCAGCCAGGACACAGCCCCGGGCTGCAGCACCACCGGGCCAAGGGCCCCGTGCTGGAAGCAGCAGGCACATTGGCATGTCTGCAGGTGAAGAATGTTCTCTGGCTAAGCCAGACTACTAGGATTTAAACAGCACACATCTCTTTCCAAAATTTCTCTGAGACTTTTGGAATGAACTTTGCTGTAATATTTAACTTACTGTGTGATTCTCCCTTGGTTTCCCCTCAGTGACATCAAGGCATTAAAATCGTGCTGCCTGCTAGAGACTTGAAAACAGTGTTTTGGTAAACAAAATGTTGACTTTGATTCGGGGTTTTGTTAGCGACAGATCTGGAATTTCTTTTTTTTTTTATTTTTTCTCAAAAACTTTGTCCTGTGATTACAAAGGAGTTATGAAGGGAATCCTTTTAAAACCAGATCTAGGGAGGCAAAAGCAGGAAAAAAATATACTTTGCATCTACTAAGATAAATCTCAGATTCCTTTGTGTAGAGGCAGATATAAATTATCTAGAAATACATACTCTCTGCTGGGAAAGGGTTTTTAAATTATTGTTCTTTCAGCTGTGCACTGTAAAATTAGATACAGCATCGAGAATGCATAATTTTGTATGTTTTTTGATGATGTTTCTCCTACCTAAAATATGCTGCTTGGACAACACAATGACGTTAATTTAGCCTGTGGGGCTGCATTCAGCAAAGTGCCTTCGAAGTGCTGGATATTGGCAGTTTCACACAGGGTAAGGTGTCTCAGAGCTGCCTCTGCTGCACTTGGCTGTTTCAAGGAGGACACCTCGATTTTTCCTCCTGTGCCTTCAGAGCGCGAGGAAATCACCAGCAGCCTTCATGAGGCAGGCAGCACTCAGGAGTAAATTTTAGAATTATTCCTTTGTCTTGTGGGACTTTGGGCCAAACTTCTTGAAATGCACAGTGCCTGCTGTTGATAGAAACTTCGGAAACAGTGGCTTTATTTATGCCTCAGTTTCTTCTGAAATATGCAGGTATGAAAGTAGTCTGAGGGACAGCAACACACAGTATTTTCTTTGTCCTGTACCATTAGAGTTTTCTTAAAATAAGCTGCTACTACAGTTAAGACTATAAAACAAAGAAACCACCCTGCTAGCTTTTTAGCTTTTGGTTAACATTTGAAAAGCAAACTTTTTAACAAATCCTTGACACTTGCTTTAATTAAAGAAGTGCTGGCAAAACACCAGAAAATTATCAATCTGCCAGCTGCGGACTCACATCTGCCATTAGCAAAGCTGTGTCAAAGCTGAGCTGAGATAACACTTCTGGAAATGTGTAATGGACCGATTTGGTCCTGAAACCACCTCTACAGGCAATTAAAACATTGACTAAGATTTTTGGCAATGTTTCATTCTTATGACCTACAGTAACTGGCAAATGCTTTTTCAATGTCCCATATCCCTTCTTGATTCTCCAGGTTCAGACATAATTCATAATTAGTATTCTCTCTGTGTGCAATACTACATGTTTAATTAAGTCCAAATAATCTAGCTGTACTGCTGTTTTAATTTTTGTAGTGGTGTTCTATATAATTGTATCAATCCTTTGGCATCCCAAAGGAAAAACACACCTCCAAAGAAAAATACTTGTTTCTGAAACAGTAATCTGAAAATTGTTCTTTCCTTTGCAGAGCTTATGTATTGTGTCCTTCAACATGCATAGTCTATGAATTCCAGTTCTTTACACAACAAGCCACCACTTCTGCAGTGAACTTGCAACTTCTGCTCTGAACTGCTGGTGTATTGTTTCTCTTGAAACCTACAGAAGTTCCAAGTCCACGTAAGAAAGTGGAATGCAGGGTCCTTGAAATGTTAATTTTCCAGCTAAGCTGTTTCTCTTTGCATAGCCAAGGACCGTGCTTCCCTCATAGGCAGTACCTCAAGGCAACCTCGTTTTGTCCAGCTGAACACACACTGAAAGAGAGAAATTATCCATTTAAAATCCTGGAG